GGAGTTAGCAGGCCATTTAAGGATCAATGTTGATGTTTATAGACCACTTTCATAAATGGCTGCCTGTTTAATATTGTTTTGTTTAAATTAGCCCTACTGGCCTCGTTCTCCAGTACAAAATTCAAAAGAATACATTATCTCAAGCGAGGCCAGAAGGGCTAATTTGAATTTAAACAAAAGAATATTTATACGGCAGTCATTTATGAAAGTGGTCTATTTCATGATACGATCACGACGTTATAATGTGACGCGGGTCTTCATGCCCATAGGAAAACACACTAATGTGTATTTTGGAATGTATGATGCGTAATTTTGGAACACGTGTGGTTTTAATTTAAACCATCTATTGCAACGTGCTTACCACAACGAAAAAGCATTCTCTAAGCGTATAAGTAATCTTCATACAGAAATTAACATTTCAAACAGATAGTAACAAAATAGTCCATCCTTCAATGTATGTAATGTTCAGATTGAAGTTCAAATATGGTGCTAGTCATGGAAATGAGCTCATTTTATGTCAATTCGCTTTGTCTTTAGTTCCAGAGGTGGCCCCAACTCAACCTCACAAGGTTAGGCTTGCATTTATTAGGGCTACAATCAATATTGCATCCTAGCTTGCCTTAGACTTCACTCGTGACTATCAGTAGTGGTTTCGTTGCTCAGTATTTATCAGGTATCTTTTCTGACTGCAATTTCACAAGCAAAGATTATTACTTAAAAAGAATTCCATTATCTAACTCATTTAAATTGTGACGGTGGAGTCCATTCTTCAATTTTTTTGCTTGATTTTTAATGAATTAATGAGATTGTGTCACATTGGGTATCCTGTTTTGAAAGGTTAGAACTACAAAAGTCACTGGACAGAAAAAAATATCAGGTAAATGTCAACTTAACTTCATTTCATACTAAAATATGTTTATGATTTTGTCTTTATCTTTTAATTTAAAAGCCATGTTTGAAATGTTTTTCTCTCAGAGATTTCAAGTGGTCAATTATGGCCTAAATTGGTGGTTTTTTTTTGTTTGTTTTTTTTTATACCCCAGACCTGTGAAACCTGTATTTAAAGGTCAACCTGTTTAAAGCAGTCACCCTCTTATTCCCGGTGGGTAAGCTCTAACTAGTGGTTTGACTGTAGCTTATTTTGTATCGACTTGTCCTTTAGTTCCAGACGTGGCCCCAACTCAGCCTCAAAAGGTAAGGCTTACATTTATTAGGGCTACGTTCAACATTGCATCCTTGCTTGCATCAGACTTCACTCTTGAAGTTATGTTGTGTGAATTCCATTTTTTTCATTGAGACCGAATGATTTTACTGATAGAAATTTATAACATCTTGGGTCAGTCATTACATTACGGCTTCCCTCCTAATAATCAAGCATCGTTGCAATGTTTTACAAACATATCTCATTTTGCCGGCTGGGCAGAATGTTTAAGCAAAGACTTCCGTCACGACCTTTTGGCGATAATTACATTAATTCTCTCTTCTCTCTCGCTCTCAGATCACTTTGGTTTTTCCGCAAAAATTGATTTCGAAATAAATTCAGTGGTACTAAATTTGTTTTTAAAAAGTGAAACGCGGCCCAAAAATAATTTGTAACTTAAAAGAAAGTCAGAAAGTTAAAACGAGAAGTAGTTGCAGTTAACAACTGGGCCTTTTTTCCTCTTCAATTGACAGGTGTCACATCGTGACAGGTACTTATCAACAAATGTTTCATAGTTTGCTCGGAAGCCTTAAGTTGCCCTCACAGATAAAAATGTTTCGGTGAAAGCTTTCACTTTAATTTGAATAGCGTCTGTTTTTTTTCATCATCCACCCGATAAAAATTGTTAAGTTTAGGGAGGATTTTCCCGTAATTAAATTGTAACCCTAAATCATTCGGGTTCTCTTGGCAATCACTTTGTTATGTGTAAGAAAAAAAAAAAAAAATGTTATTCATCAGTATAGGTCGGTCCGTATTGGGAAATCTGCGCCCTCTGTCTTGGGCACGAGTACCGGGTGGAATCCAAGACCTCGGGCACACTTTTTTTTTCTGGTGAATAACCTATATATATTTCTTAAATGAAGTTACGTTAGGAGTTACCGTTGTGCTTTTCATATCCTTTTTCAAATAATCAATTACCATGCAAGAAAAGTTCCGATTTAGAAATCATCTGAAACAATTTGAGAAAAGGCTCAAACGTCACAGTGCTAATGAGTTAAAAAGTGCTTTTCGGTTTACATATGCAGTTAAGTTAAAATCTTTCTATTGAAGATATGAATATTTGTTTTGATCCTAACTATGACGGGCGGCTTCATTGCTCAGTTGGTACTAGCACCTAATAGGGCGAGGTATCGTTTCTGTAATTAAAATTTTATCCACATGAGAAGAATGATTTTAACATTGCGTTGGTTAAATCTATTGCTAAATTTAGTGAATTTTATTGAATGAGGTTGCTTTGATAGGTTACAACTACGGAGGACTCTGAAAACAAAAACATTACAGGTAAAGACCAACTCTAGAACTTGCATGTTGGAAGGAAAAGTTGACGACGTAAACGTTACCTTTCCTTACAAAGACTCCGAGGCCTTTTCGTAATTTTTGATTGCTAAAGAAATGAGTAATCCGTTTTTCCTCGAATAAGTGGGTGGGCGCTTATTTGAAATCACGGCTAAACGAAAAAGCACCAGAAAAAATCGCTCTCCAAGGAAAAGTTATCGAATGTTTCTTATGCTTATCGACTGATTCGAAGTTGGATTTGACATATGTACATACAATGACAGATGATTTATTTCACTTTAAGCTGTTCTCATCGGTTATCACTACTATTATAATTATGAACGTTATTATTATTATTACTATCAAACTATTATCATTATTAATATGATTATCTGTTACCATTTTACTACTGGTTGAGTGTCAATTAGACACTATATTCTTGAATTATCGTTCTCTTATGGAACAGGGTACTCATAAATATGTGGGATACGGCAGTAGTAGCCATATGCAGTCTATACTTTATTCTCACTGGCTTTACAACTAAAATAAGTTCAACTTAAATAATCTTGTTTCTGCTTTTCTACCAGAATGGTACTGTGTACAAACTTACGCATGTTCAGAATAAAGTCGATCTCTTAGTAAACTTACAGTCAGGAATTAATGAAGTATGCTCGGGATCATGGTATGAAATTATGCTTTATGTCATGGAATAAGAAGGCAGCTGTATTTTGAATGATGCTTTTCTTCAGGTTTCATATGTCCATCATTCGAGGAACCTGCTGAATGCCCATCAGGTGATGATGAGGACGACCTATGTCAGGCCGAAGGCAAAATTGGCAGTGATGTCGGCTGCCCACCGGGTTTAATATGTTGTAATACTGGCTGTCAGTTTCTTGATTGTGTGGGTACGTATGCCAAATGGATTCAAAAAGAAATTCCAGGCAACTTTGCTAATAACGTTTTCGCAGGCTCCAACTCAATCTCAGTCACAAAATATTCTTGCCATCAGTGTATGTAACGTAAAGGTGCAATTTATGCAACTAAGCTCATTTTGTATCAATTGGTCCCTTAGTTCCAGAGGTGACCCCAACTCCAACTCAACCTCAGAAGGTAAGGCTTACATCTATTAGGTTTAGGTATCTTTTCTGTAATTAAACTTTTATCCACATGCGAAACTATGATTTATGTCATTAACATTGTGTTGGTTAACTCCATTTCTAATTTGAATGAATTTTATGAATGAGGTTGTTTCATAAATGATATCCTGCTTTGATACAGGTGCCGGTCTGCGAAAAACTCCAAAATGCTTTTCAGAACCTAAAAAGACAACTGGACGAGATTCAAAAGGAGCTAAAGAATTTACCAAAGGATGATGTGGACAGAAGAAAGGGTACAGTGAAATTTCAACATGCCATTGATGCAGAGTACGGAAATGACAAAAACAAAAAAAAAACAACTTTTGTTGTAGGATTTCTATGAGTTCGGAAAAGCGGCAAATGTGAGCACCGGGCTCATCGATAAGACTGGGTTTTTACCCATAGCTTGGGTTTGATTCTAGTATCGGTAAGTTATCGGTAAGTTATATCAAGAGAAAATGGAATCTTCTGTGTACACCTTACTCAAAAGAACGGGTAATAAAGGCGAACATTTTTCGAGCTACATCTTTATTTGTATCATATGTTAGATGAGCGAATAAGACTCGGATTTATCATTCCAATGTAACTTCATTTCTAAACTCATACAGCGACACGAGGTTCGCGCGGAAGACGAAAGCAAATCTTTTAGAGGTCAAGCATATAGAGAGTAATTGAAGTCACAGTTTGTATCATTTAGAGCGGCCAATTTATCTGTATCGAGTGATTGGTCGGGTTTTTTTAACATTCTCTGTCCTTTTGGCTTGGAATTTTTCAGATTCATCCCTGCCTAAAAACTGTGCTGAGCTCTACAAATCTGGAGAAACAATAAGCGGTGTTTATACAATCGACCCTGATGGGTCAGGTACCTTTGATGTCTATTGCGACCAGAAAACAGCTGGTGGGGCATGGACAGTTTTCCAGAAGAGGCTGGACGGCTCCGTTGACTTCTACCGTGGGTGGAAGGAGTACAATAATGGTTTTGGTAACCAGAATGGCGAGTTCTGGCTTGGATTAGACAAAATACACCGCCTGACAATTAGTAACAGATACAAGCTGCGAGTAGATCTGGAAGACACCGAAGGAGACATACGCTATGCAGAATATGATTTGTTCGCTGTCGCAAGCGAGAGCACCGGGTACCAGCTTATCCTTGGGTCTTACTCAGGTTTGCGAATTCAGAAAGGCTATTTGTTAGTTTTTTTTTATGCATTGAGCTGCTTTCTAAACGCATTGATTGGATCAACAACAACATCAACTACGTTTGCTTAATCAAAGATTGTTTTTCTCAGGAGCTGCTGGAAATTCTCTTACTCGTCATCGAGGAAAAGCCTTTTCCACCCCAGACAGGGACAATGATCGGTATTGGCCTCACAACTGTGCTTCATTGTACAAAGGAGCGTGGTGGTTCGACGATTGTCTTGACTCCAACTTGAATGGTCCGTATCATGGCAAACACCAATTTTATTCTGAAGGGATCTACTGGTATCACTGGCAAGGAAAGGATTTCTCTGCCAAAAGAACCGAGATGAAAATCAAGCCAGTGAACGCCTAGAGCTCCATCGATGCCCTCCAGTTATTACACAGCTTGAATTTTGATTAGGTTAGGATTAGATTACCAAATTTCTTTGAATCTTTAGCATTTAATTGTTGGCAACAGACCACTATTAGATATCGATGCAATGGCAGAAATTGTAGAAGAACCGAACCTGAAGTGAAGGAGACAGAGTAAGACCCAATTATGGGCATCGGGATTTAAAACAGAGACGCATAACAATATATTGCCAAAAATATACTCTTGTTTTATTCATAGGGATTTTCTTTTTTGTTTGTTTGTTTGCTTGTTTGTTTTATAACCCCTTAAGATATGGAAACTCAGTAGCTTGTCATTTTGTCGTTATGTTATTCAATCAATAAACGATATGGATGTATCGACTACTGCCACGTCTCGATATGCAGTTGAATGAGTTACCACAGTTTATTATCCAACTACACTTAGAGGAGTCCAAATAACCCCATAGACGAGTACAAATATCACGCGGTATTTGTACTCGTCTATTGTAGAGTACCAGTTAAACAGGTTTTCTCGCATCGCGCAAGCGAAGAATTGGATTGAAGTTACGAAAAAAATATGGTGGACAATTTGAATCATATTTCTGACGACGAAGAGTCGGAATGGCTGGCAAATCTAAATCCAAGTTTATTAGATGAATCGAACGAAGAAAAACAGTTAGACAACTAGGAAGAAAATAGAAACAGCCACACGACAACGTGCCAATTCCGTTCCGCTTCGCATACTTCTGTCACGCATTTCCCGTAAATAAATATCCGCGAAATTCGCCCGCACTGAAATAACAGTTTGGCGTGTTGGATAATAAATAACTTATTAGACGATTTGTTGTGTGGTATCGCTGAGTATTTTTACTCGTTATTTGTATTTTGACTCGCCCTACAGGCTCGTCAAAATACGGCACAACTCGTAAAAATACTCAGCGATACTACGCAACAAAACGTCTAATAAGATATATTTATTATCCAACTACACTCTTTAGGGTACAAACAAAGCCATAGACGAGCAAAAGTATCACGCGGTATTTGTACTCCAAAGAACCAGTTTGACAGGTTTTCTCGCATCGCGCAAGCGAAGAATTGGATTGAAGTTACGAAAAAAATATGGTGGACAATTTGAATCATATTTCTGACGACGAAGAGTCGGAATGGCTGGCAAATCTAAATCCAAGTTTATTAGATGAATCGAACGAAGAAAAACAGTTAGACAACTAGGAAGAAAATAGAAACAGCCACACGACAACGTGCCAATTCCGTTCCGCTTCGCATACTTCTGTCACGCATTTCCCGTAAATAAATATCCGCGAAATTCGCCCGCACTGAAATAACAATTTGGCGTGTTGGATAATAAATAACTTCTTAGACGTTTTGTTGTATAGTATAGCTGAGTATTTTTACGAGTTGTGCCGTATTTTGACGAGCGATACTACACAAGAAAACGTCTAATAAGATACATTTATTTATCGCCAGGGAGAGGGGGGAGGGGGAGACCAGGGGAGAACAGAAGCTTTTAGCGGACCACATTCAAGGGAAATGGAGGGGTCAGTCGTTGCCAACGGAGTGTAAAGGGAGAACTATAGAAAACTGACTGGGAATTCAATTGCCAATGAGATTCATCACTTAGGGACCGAGGCTAGGGACCTAGCTTGAGACCTCAGTCTTATGTGCCAAGGTGTTTATTGATTTCATGAATAATGCAAGTGCGGAAAATAATAAAAAAAAGAACAGTGCTTTACCAGAAAAAGAACATGACGCAAGTGTTACGAATATCTTAGCGCATGTGAAATGTATTTTTATGGGCTGATGAATTCATCGTGTTTAAATAAAGATTACATTACGTGCTATCAATATGCTGACGACACCACCCTGTATAAACAGTCCACCTTTAATAAACTCATGCAAAATGTTACCGACTTTAACAACTCTCTCAGTAACATGGCAAACTGGTCTTATACATCAAATCTTTCCCTTAATCAGGCGAAAATCAAACAAATCGTGCTTCAACAAATGAATTGGCTCGAGTCCACGATCTTAACCATCAGATCACACAATTGGAAATCTCGAATCGCCAGTTGGAAAGAGCGAGTAAAAGTTCAAGAGAATTTGAAGCGGAATGATCATGTCAAGGATGTGGCAAATGCCTCTCATGGAGTCTTAAGTACATTTCGTAAGTTGAAACACTTTACAGACTTCAACTTAAGAAAGAGACTTGCAGAATTACTTGTGTTATCAAGACTCGACTATTGTGACTCTGTCATTTCACCTCTGCCGCAATACTCGCTGAAGCGCCTTCAAAAAATTGAGTTTGCTGCCGCAAGTTTTGTTTATGGCAGATATGTTAATAACATTGGAGACATTTTAAAGCTAAATTGGCTTCCTGTGGAAGAAAGAAGGGATTTTAATTTGCCGAAGTTGACCCGTAAAGCGCTTTATTTTAAACAGTGGCCAACATATCTGAACTTAACGAGTCCCTATACGTAGAGAGCTGCGCTCTTCAGACTGTATTAGACTACAGATTCCTTTAGAAAAGGGGACCTTTCAAGACACCTTGGCCGTTTTATTTAATAATCTACCAAAGGAACTGAAAACTTGTGATGACTTGCATATTTTTACATCGCGTTTATTTAAATACTTAAAAAATCAGGCGAAGGCACGCCTTTAGTAATTTTAAATTAGTTAAAGTTTTAAGTGTATACAGACTGGAATGTTTTGCTATTTTAAATTTATGATTGTAAATATTAAATATGTTTTAGTTTATCCTATAATGTATTTAGTTAGTTAGTGACAGATGAAGAGCCCCTCTGTGGAATCACTGTGAATAGACCCTTTCCTTTACTACTTACTTACTTACTAGTACTTACGTTAGTGACAGATGAAGAGCCCCTTTGTGGAATCACTGTGAATAGACCCTTTCCTTTACTACTTACTTACTTACTAGTACTTACGTTAGTGACAGATGAAGAGCCCCTTTGTGGAATCACTGTGAATAGACCCTTTCCTTTACTACTTACTTACTTACTAGTACTTACGTTACGTGTGAAAGAGATACCTACACTGTTAATAAACCCTTTCCTTTACTACTTACTTACTTACTAGTACTTACGTTA